AAGGATGGAGAGCCAGCAGAGCCCACACGGCTCTGCCTAACAAACAGGCTATGGGTAGGAGCCTGGCCCCTCAATGACTGCCCTTCCTGAGCTGCACACTGTCAGCAGGCTGGAGGTGGCAGCCCAGGGCCTCTGTCCCCCCAACATCCCTGGGCCTACTCCAGCCAGCCCCCCAAGTCCCTGCTGGAGAAACAGCTGTCGCAGCGACTTTAGGCAGTCCCTGTCTCCGTTATGGCTTATGTACAGCCCCCCAGGCGGCAGGCTTGTGGGGACGAACTGACTTTATAAATAAAATTTATCATTGTAATTATGGTTCCTGGAGAGAACTGAGGACTTTTATGGCCTCTTGGAGGTCATGAATAATTTAGGAGAAGGGAACCAGGGCGCTTTTGTTAGTGCACAATTGGACCCAGAGGTTCCCATTATCTGGCTGCGGGTGGCGCTGTGGCTGGCCATTCTAAGTGTCCCACTGAAGGGGACCAGTCTTTGATACCCAGGAGCCTACCCCTTCGGCGGCCAGGAACACTGTCCAACATCCTCATCTTACTGAGGGTCCAGGCTTGTGAAGGGTGGCCAGGTTTGACTTCAGCCAGAGACTAGCAAGTGTCAATCCCATAGCTAGGCTGTGACTCAGGTAAGCAGAACCAGCACTCCCAAATGACATCAGAAAGCCACACGGCCCACGTTTTCTCTTCTGCTGCTCGCTCTCCCCACAATATGTTATCCCAAAGGCCTGTGTGACCCCTGAGAGTTGCAAGAGGCAAGACGCACCTTTCCTCGCCTCCAGGGATGAAGGACCCACTACCTCACTGCTGGACATTCTTCCCTCAGACAGTTGTGTAAAAATTCCCAGACCAGGCCTGGCTCCTCCCATTTTCACCGGAGTCCTGCAGAAGCCCTGGCCTTCCACAGCTTGCTCTCACCCACCCTGACATCTTTCCTTCTCTCTCCACCTCACACCTACCATCCACCAACGAGCCCTGGCCAAGCCCACCAGTACCCACTCAGCCATGTCCAGCGGTAACTCTTTGAGCCCGTGACCCTCTCCCGTCTCCCTCTGACTCTGGAGTCCCAGCATACCACACGCAGGCGCCAACTCTACGGCTGCTTTCTCCCCACCAGCCCAACCACCTCATACTACAGCACCCAGAATCCCATATGATCTCCATGTGCTTCAGCCTCTGAGCATTCAGGTTTCCTCAATGCAACAGAATAAGCAGATGGAACTTCCGACCTAAGGTAATGTCCAAATCCAGGGTGTTTACAGGCCATGGTAGCTCAGGGCTTCCAGTGATGGGGAGACCTTCCTGCATCTTTGGCTTCTGGTGGCCACTGACACTCACAGCCTGTGGTTCAGCCAACAGTTTGAACCCTGTGATCACACCACCTCCTCTTCTGTGTCTGCCCCCTGCCCCCTGCCTTTTAGGACTTATGTGACATCCTTCAGTGTCCACAGGATAGACAGTCCCGTGTCTCCTTCCCATCTCAGGGTCCTTATTTCAGCAGACTCGCAAACCCTTCCAGATGAGCTGTATTCATAGATCCAGAAACCTCACATAGATCTCTTTGGGGTACCACTGCTGAGGGTAGTTCCAAACTCACCTCCATTTGAATAACATGAAAATCCCAAGACACATACATCAACTCCCAGGCCTTGGAGGTCTCTATTCATCTCTACCCAGCTCTCATTTTCTAATCCCTAGGACATCCCGAACTCACTCATCTATCACCTACGGGAAGCAGAGCAATGCCTCAGAGCCGTCTCCATCCTCACTCCCCAGAGCCCAGAACATGCTCAGTGTAACATGCAGTGTATTAGTCAACATCCATGTGCAGTTTAAGCTCATTTAAAGGGGACACTTGGAATCCCTAAAGAGGCTCTCTCTTGTCTCTTCCAAAGCCCCCTGTTCTGGGTCATCCTGGGCTCTGGATCTGGAATGGGTTAGGGAAAAGGTAGCAAACAGCTAGAAGGAAAAAATATTTGAAACAGACTACTATTGTTTATTATAGCATATGGAAACACCTGCACTGGGGAGAGAAGCCAGAAGCCATCCCTGGAGACAAATCTCCATCAGAAGCTCAAGTTATCTGCCTCAGTTTCCCTAGACAACTTCCACTGGATGTTATAAGCTCAGATTTAATGATTTTTTTACATTCATTCACTCTCTCAATCAAATCAGTGAAGTCCTGATTTGGTGATTCTTTGCTGTCTATTGGCTGCATCTAGCTGCCACCTACTGTTTGTTCTTGCCTCTTCTTTACTATGTGTTTAATAATGTCATTTTCTCCAGACAGGTACCGAGCACGCGGTCTTTCTATGATAGAAAACAAAGGCTGCAGACAGGACTGGCCTTGCTGGAGACTTAAGATCTTTAGGGTCAAGAAACTGTTGTGAATGTGGGGGCGGGGCTTCACTGGGTCCTTACCCATGAGAAGAATGAAGTAGTTAGATGACCTTTTCTGTTTCTGCCTTCCAAGCTGGGGAAAAAGTCACAAGCAGGTGTGCAGCTCTACAAGGAGAGACTTATAGGGACCCTCCCCAGAGTCTTGAAGGTACTGACCCTCCTGCGTCTTGCTCTCAGCACATGGATCAACCCTGAAGTAAGGGAAAGGGGTTAATCCATTTAGCAGAGTCTGTCCTAGCAGCTGTAGGAAGCACCGTGGCATGCCTGCTCGCATACCTCGGCAATACGTATCTGACCCGGGAGCCCTGCAACTGCCATGGCTCTGTCTCGTCCCCAGCCAGTCCCTTGGGCCATCGGTCAAGCTGTCAGCAGGAGCCCCCCTGCCTCCTCATGGTGCCCCCATCCTGTTTCCCTGTAGAAACAAGCGAGCCCACGACTCACCTCTACCCTGACCTTTCCCTCCCTACCCAAGCCCTTCTCTGTGTTCAGTGAGGAATCCATCAAACCTGATCTGTCAATATCCCTTCTCACTCACCACTCCCAACCTTTTGCCCCTCTGTCCTGCTTCCTGATGCCGCATCTACCCACAGACTCTTCACACACAAACCCCACCCCCGAGTCTTTCAAAAGATCTGAGGCTGACGACTAACAGACAGCACTGCCCCTACACACAGAAAGGCCTGGGACACCAGAGGCCCTGTGGTCCAGGGTCACAAGCCCTCACCTCAACAGTCTAGGCTGCAAGAGTGACCTCTAAACCAAATCCCAAAGCCATGGGTTGTAGAGGCCTGAATTCACTGACGGCGTCCCAGGGCTGTGTCTCAGCGCCAGCAGTGGCTTCCAGGCTCCAGCTATATCCACTAGACTGAGGAAGCTGGAAACTTCCTACCTGGGAGATCCTTCCACTACTGTGGCAGATAGGATCCTGCTCCCCACCCCACCCCAGACCCATTGGCTAATTCCCTCAAACCTGAGCCCTGCACCACCACCACTGCCCGCTGCCCACCCTGGGAACCACGGCCTGTGCTCTTTCTGCCAGTCCTGCCTTTCTGGAAGGGAGCTTTGCCTTCCTGCCAGACAAGCAAGCCTTGGCAGCTAGGCCAGCATAACACAGCAGTGGGCAGGACCAGAAAACCACCAAGGGCTGATAACACAAAGGTCACTCTGATGTTCACAGGCCTTACTGCGTGGCCAGAGGAGCTGAAACTATAGTGTCCCCATGGCCTCGGCCCCATGGGTCACCTCCTGCTGGAGACCTCAATGCCCTCCCAGGAAGGAAGGCAGAACGGCTCCTTTTCCAGAGTTCACTACCTGTGGCCGCAAGGAATCTTTATCCTCCATGAGGCCAAGGGCTTATTGTTGCATGTCACTCGGGTGACATAAGATTGCAGTGTAGTACAGAGCTAAGAACGGGAGCAGACAGTCTGGTGCATGAGTCCGGGGGCGGGGGGAACACCTCAGGTAGTTCTCAGCCCAACAGAGGCCTGCATACTGAGAGACCCTGTTCCCAGGATCTTCATTTCATTCCATGGAAAAGCTGTTTATGAGCTGACAAGGGCTTCAGTAGGGGACACCATGTATGAGCCAACCCACCGTCTCCTAGCTATGTGACTTTGGGCAGGTCATTTTATCCCTTACGGCAGGGTCTCTCATGCACACATGAGGGGCAAGCTCAACATGACCTGCAGGTAAGGGCTGATGCAGCAGGGAGCCCTTTATGCCAGCCCAGGACAGAGCCCAGGAGAAGCAGTCCCCCACTCCCAGCTGCCCCTCTCGGGCCTCATGCTGACCTTTCATCTCAGAGAACTACTGGAATTCAGCTAACATGCTGCCTACAATCTGCAACTTGGGCCCTGTCCTCCCAGGGCAGGACACCTTATGAAGCAGGAGGCCTGGGTCTGGCTAGGTTCCACCTCTACCTCAAAGCTCTATTGTAAAGTCTAAGTTAAACAGGGGCTTGATTCTGCAGTCACCCCCCCCCAACTCCACAGCCCTCATGTCTCCCTCACAAACCACGCTACCCTAAATTCCACAGCCTAGCTTTTTCAAGAGGTTCACAGTCCTAAACTAATCTGATATGAACACATTGGGCCAAGATGGGCAGATGCAGTGGTGCTGACCCCTGGCCTTGTCTACAGGCCTGGCCTACTGTCCACTGGGGCCCTGGGAAATGGCACCTCCCAGAGCTGGAGCCAGTGGCCTGTCTGCAAGGTTGTCGCAATTTCTGTCAAAGGGGGAGGCGGTCATAGCTCAGCCCTTGTGATCTGGATGGTTCTGTGTTCAGCATGAGGACCCAGACAGGCAACACAGCCCAGAAATAACTGTACCCTGCATGTAGCTCAGGAGCCCCGTCAGAAAGGATTCTGTGGAGACCGGTGCGGCCTACAGGTGCTGTCCAGGACCTCCCTCTTGAGAGGACAGGGAGTGCTGCTGACGGAAACCCACCAGGTCCTTACTGGACTGTGCCCCACAGCCTCCGGCAGAGCATGGTGGTTTCGGGCTCTTGTGGACCCAGGAGACAGCCAGGTGAGTAAACTGGGGACCGTGTCTGCGTGACCTTCCCATTTGGGATCAAGATTTCCAGCGACAGGTGTAGGCAAGGATCCAACTGCGGTGAGCAATGGATAAAGGCAGTCTGAGCAGACATCACACAGGTCACCATGGACACCCCAGGGTGGCTACCATTCCCTTTCACAAGGTCTGAGGGGACAGCTGCAGACAAAACAGCAGCTGGGAATCCCAGAATGCCATGTGTCCTCGTATGCATAAGGAACAGAGGGATGGTTCAGTATAACCCAGTTACCTGGTGCTCCAAGGGTCTGGGTAGTTACAATTACCAATAGCCCTAAGCCCATGCCCTGCCAATCTTTGGAAGGAGCAGGGAGGTGACCTGTTCAAACCTAGATGCTGGAGCGCTGGCCTTTAGTCACACAGGATAGTAAGCACCACATTACAGAACACAGAGCCAGGGGCTGCTCCCAGGGCAGCAGGAGGGCTAAGTCAGACGCCAGTCAGTCTTCCCTGCTTGGGCATGTCCTGTTAGGCTGATGACCCCTTCTTTTGGGCACTGCTGCAGAGCAGATCTGAGCTGCCCTGTACCTAGGCATTGGCATATGGCTTGCAATGCCCAGGGCTTAGCTCAGCTGAGGCCCTCTAAGGGAAGAATCCACACTGCCTAGAGGCTATATCAACCCTGCTTCACACCGAGGCTCCCCCAATCTCCTCAGCACTCCACCATCAACTGTGCTGCTGACACTACCCAAGCCAAAGGCCACTGAGCTGTACAGACCCAACATCTCACATGATCAGGCCTCAGGGACGTGGTTCCAGTGCCCGTTCCTACTCCTTGGTCCCGGGCCAGGGGCACATGATCAGAGCCAGCAGAGACCAGCCTCGCTGGGAGCCTTCCTTAGCACCCTCCCGCTCACTTAAGTTAGGAATGTTTGCTATCTGGGGAGCTTCCAGACTATTTCTGGCTGGAGCACCCGCTTAGGGACACCAGCCCTTCCAGGGACTCCACTGCCTGACTGGCCTGCACTCTGCCTCCCGCCCTGCAAAAGGGAGGCGAGGGAGCAGGGGTGTCCACAGCTTCCTGTTTTCTTTCCAGCTGGGAAGGGGAGCAGCAGACAGCCACCTCTGTCTTGTCTGCATCCCTTCATAGGCCTTCGGCCAAGCTGCTGAGGTGCCTGGGATGGCATTCGACTTTACTGGGGGCCACCAGGCCCTGCGTATAGCAGTCCCCCTGTAGATCCAGCTGACTAGAGACCAGCGGGCGGCCAGCCCTGAGGCTGCCGAGGCCACTGCCCCCATGTCTCTGTAACGGAAACTTCTCAGGTGCTCTGTGAGCAACAGCTTCAGCTCCAGTTCCTGCCTCATGTGGGGCTCTGATCGGCAGCAGATCGCAGGACAAGGCAGGTGAGCAGCCAGACGCAAGACACGTACAATGCGACAGGGGCCCAGGTGGGCAGGCCTTGATGTGTGTGAGTGTGAGTGTGTGTGTGTGTGGCATGTGTGGGGGTGGGAGGTCAGAGGGAGGTGGGGGAGGGGTGGGGGTGAGGGGGTGAGGTGTGGGGGGAGGGATCAGCAGTACACAGGGCTCCTGTGTCTGTGTGCATGTTCAAGCAAGGAAAGCCCCATAGAGGCTCTGGCCTCCCAGGAGTCCCTCCAGAGAGGGGATTTTGCAGCAAGACAGCAAGGAAATCCAGCACTGCTCAAATGTGGAGACCGCCTGTTCCTTCAGGTCCCCAGCATGGCAAAAGTGTGAGGGTAGGCAGGGAGCAGCCATGGCTGCCAAGCTCAGTGCCAGACACTGGTCAGATCTGGGGAAGGACTTCCCTGTGTAGGGATGTCAGGGCTGGGAGGGTGCTGAAGTTCCCCATGTGCCAGCTGTTGTACTTGGCACACTGCCCACCCTAGAGACTCTCCAAAACACACCACAGACCGTGGAGGTTGTGAAGGGGGTGACAGGCACAAAGGTATAGATAGCCAGGCTGGTGAGGGGCAGTGCTGACTCCCCAAAACTCCAAGATAAGGTGAGGGAGGAAGGGTCTTTGGACAGGCCCTGGAAGACAGTCTAGGTTTGGGGTCCAGTAAGGAAGCAGGAGCTCCAGAGGCCCCAGTTCAGAACACCAGGGCTGTATCTTGGACAGAGCCCTTCTCTCTGTGACTGTCCTGTGCTAGCTGTCTGCAAACACCATGTTCATCTGCCTGGATCACGGGTGCAATGTCCACGCTTGGCTCTGCAGACTGGCTGGCATTCTTTACCTGGGTCAGGATTCCCCGCTGTTTGGGGCACAGCGGAAACCCGGCCCGGCCTTGACTATAAGGGGACAGCTGCTCGTGTTGTTTCCCTGAGTGAGGGACGGAGCCCCAGATACCAGCGCTCCCCGACCAGCATGGTTCAGCCACGGCGCCCCACAGGCCCCGGCTCCTGGCACTACTTTCCACCCTTTATCACCCATCTGTCATGAGCCAGACTCTGAGCAAATGCACTCAAGTTACGAGCTCCCTGCTGGGGCCAAGGCCTCTGCTCTGGGGCCAGCAGGAGGGGATACCAGCAGGCTCGCTGTATCCACTACATCGGCTATGTGAGCCAGAGATGCCCCCCTCTGAACTTTTTAACGGGCGTGTGAAAGCCAGAGAACTCTCTACTTGACTGAGACCACAGAAATAAGGATGCAACCCAGATACACACACACACACACACACACACACACACTCTCACATACACACAACCCTCCAACACACATGTCACACACCACACTGAAACTCATATCACACACATACCACACATTCACACACACCACACATATTCACACACACACACACGCAACACATACTCACATACCCCACATACACCCTAACACATAACACACACACTCATACATACACATATGTACACGTATGAGATTCATGTGTAAACATGCCTATGTGTACACAGATCACACGCATATGCACATTCTCACATGCTAGCACACACAAGCCACATAGTTATATTTACATGCACACATGGGTTCTCCATAGGTCAACTTCACATGCTCATACAAACATGTCCACTCATATGTCAAACAATCCCATGTATGCACATTTACATAGACATGCACACCCACAAACACATATGCTGCTATGTGTATATAAACACACACATGGGTCTAGAGAGATGGCTCAGTAGTTAAGAGCATTTGTTGCTCTTGCAGAGGGCAGGGATTTCGTTCCCAGCACCCACATGCTAGCTCATCACCGTCCATAGGATGTGACACCCTCCTCCTATTTCAGTGGGCAACCTGCACGCAATGATACACATACATACACACATGCAGGTAAAACACTCACACATAAAATAAAGTAAGTTAAGTAAGCATTTAAAAATACTCCCGCATATTGTCTCACAATCTCACAACAGACCCTGACCACAGAGGGCCAAAAAGTGGGTGCTGGAGTAAGGTGGCAGTGTGGGAGGTGGCACCGTCCCTGAAAGTGAGCCTGGAGCGTAAACCACGCCCCTCCCGCCCTCCTCCCTCCTTCCCCTGCCTCCCTCCTCATCTGTTGTTTATGGCCAGCCCTTTCCCTACCCTATAGTATTAAAGTCTGAGGCTGTGATAGGAGAACGCGCTCCCTTCTGAAGTAATCGAGCCCTGCAAACACGTCCAGGCAGACTGGAACAGGGGGGCTTCAGCCACCTGCCATACTTATTCCCGCTGAGCATAAAGACTCAGCCCTTCCATTATCTCCTTTGGAAGACTGTATGGAGGCCCCGGGTCACCCTTCAAAGTAATCATTCCTGGGGAGACTTTGAGGGGGTCCTCCTTGGAGTCAGGGTGAGCTCCTCACTCTTACCTACTCTCTGCCCTCAAGGGCAGGGCCCCTGGAATCTGTGGAAGCCACACCCACACCTCATGAAACAGGCATTCCCCAGGCCGGAGAGCTGGGAGAAGCTGAGTGGGCTGAAGGAAGAAAGTTGCCGCACACTGTTCCTTCCAGCTGGGGAAAGAGAGGAGAAACACCTTGCCGGTAACCCAGGGACACCTCCTTTCCCTATAACCTCAGTGTCTCTACCTACCAAGAAGAAGGATGGTAGTCTCTTACTCCCCAGCACCTCCCATGGCGTCAGCCCAGGCTCAAAAGCAGAGTCTGCACCCAGAACAGGACCGGAGGAGTCGTAAGGCACAGCTGAAGCTGTGGAAAATGATCACACCTGTGGGCTGTTGTGTGTGTGTGACGTGGGGTGACAAGGGGCTCAGAGAAAGAGCGGCAGACGGAGACTGGCGGGGAGTCAGGCTGAGAACTATGCAGGTACGCAGAGACAGACAGGGCCAGAGATGTGGAGGGAAAGACAAAGAGGACAGAGACAAGCGGGCTGGGCTGTATTGGGGCCCATCCTCCCAACACAAAGGCCAGCTGAAGAGGCAATGCACCGCCCAGAAAAGCCTCTCCTTGGTGAGGCACCCTGACAATGGGAAGCCCCTGCTGTCTGTTGTGTCTCCTCTGCTGTGGGGCTTAGCATATTGACAGAAGTGTTGAACATACTTACCAGGGATCTCAGAGCATTACATATTCCCATGATAAACTGGAGTCTTCCTGAGCAGCCCATGATGGTGGGTGGGCGGACAACGGTAAATCTCAGGACACTGGCACCCAAAGGAATATTACACAGTCATCAAAGGTGATCATTATGAAGACTGTGCCCGCAAAGGAAATTGCTGACGGTGAGGCTTTGCCGCTGGCAGGGTGCAGGATTTATCTGCACCGTGAGCCCTGCAGAGGGAAGCTGGTGTCTACGGGTCTGTGAGACCGGTGGGGGCTCAGGAAGCCAGCCTGGTTTTCAAGGAGAAATTTCCTCATCCTTTGATCTTTATCTCGATAGGCATGGCTTGTGCAGTAAATAATGTCTTCTTATCATAGGACCATGTTCCAGTAAATGAGGTCTGCAGCTCGAGTCCTGTGCCCTGACTCCCACCCGCAGACACGCCATCCAGCCAGAGAGAATGAGGCAGCCACGTGGGGCTCACAACCTCCCCGGATGGAGAGGGTAAAGCCATACAACCTGAAACACTAGCTCTGGCAGGCTGCTTCTGTGAGCGGGGAAGAAGGGTCAGGGGCCGGAAAGGCAGGCAGGAACCCTGTCCTTGCTCTCAAGGTATCTACTGCCCCTGGGACTCTGGAAGTCATGTGACTGGGAGCTGTGTGCAAGACAAGGAAATGGCCCCATTTTGAAGGACTTGGTTTAGTCAAAGTACCAGGTGTGGCATACCTAGCACAGCCAGAGATACAAAGAGGATCACACAAGTCTAGGGGGAGGCTCTGTTCCGCACCAGGCCAGGGGTCGCAGCTTGGGATCAGCATGCAAGGACGGTGAGGTGTCAATCAGATATGACAATCAGACTGAAGACATTGGAGAGACAGGCTAGGATGGTGGGTGGAGATGGAGGGAAGACCCATGGCTGGCTGCAGAGCTGGTTGGTGAAGGATGCAAGGGCAAGAGAAGGGGTGAAGACACAGCTGGCGAGGCTGTTGACAGCTCCATCCAGGAGAAAGCAAGAAGATAAGAGAGGGAAGTGATTCAAGGAGCAGGAGAGGGGTTCCAAGTGGGAGGAGCCCAGACCCGGATGCTTGCTGCCAGGTCAAGGAAGAGGCAGCGATGCCAGGCTAGCCTTAGCACAGGCAGTTGTGGGTGGGGCAGGAAAGCCTCCAGGGCTTCTCATCCAGCTGGGCATAGTCCAGTACCCTGCCAGGGGCAACTTAGAAACAGCCCTGGCTTCCCTGTGCTCTGTCCTACAAGCAGCCTGCTGCCCTGGGTCATGGTTGAAGACACTGAGGCTCACAAGAGCTGATGCCCAGGATGACAGGAGCAGGGCAGGAAGGTAGCCCCCGGCAATGTAGCATGTGAGTGCTGCTTTTCTCCACCTAACGGACACCCTGAAGTTCAGCCTAGGTGAAGGGAGGGAGAGATTCACATAGGACAGAGCCTAGCCAGCCAGCTGGTTATAGCCATAATCAGCTCTGTTCACTGCCTCGGCTGGGGCCCCACTCGAGAGAGCGTATGGACTCTGCCCTCGAAACCGAGCACCATCCCCATGTCTCGGGTTCCCCCTCACAAACCCTACTGGGGTCTGAACAATAGCCTGGCATCCGGGCCAATGTATGGGAGTTGAGGGGAGCAGAGAGGCATACTTCCTCTCAGAGAAGGGGGCCCAACAACCTCTGAGGCTGCAAGACCAGATCTGAGTTTTCTAGAAAGCCCTGTCCAAGGGATGGCGTCAGAAACCCTGTGTATCTCAAGCCAAGGCACACGGTTCAGGGGGGTTGTTAGGCTCTGTGCCTGACCCCTGCCATTCGTGTTCCCTGGTGAGCCTTGTGGCCTACGGCAACCTTTCCGGGGATCAGTGGGATTCTGTGCAGGCCATCTTCAGTTGGTAGGGCTACCCTTGGCACCCTTGGTCTACTGCTGAGGGTGTGGAAAGCTTCCCTCAGAGCCCCCAGAACTGAAGGGGGACACAGTCTAGGACAAAGCATAGGTCTTCTAGCCACTGAGCTCACTCACTCCTGACTGCTCAGGCTTTATTCCATGGAGCAGCAGTGCAGGAGTTGGGGAAGGTGGGCTCGTTCTGAAGTCTCCATGCCCTTCTCTGGTACCCCTGCAGTAGGTCCGCTTCACGTAGCCCAGGGGAGCCAGCAAACACCACAGCCCCGGATGCCAGGCTTGAACAGAGTAGGCTCAACAGCCATTTGTTCTCCATCCCCACCCTAGGGCGGTGACAGGAAGCGTCCCCCCTCCATCCTGAGGCCCAGACGGCAGGGATGTGGGTGTCATGGGGCTGAGCCACAGAGGACTTCAAGGCATGTGCGGTTCCGAGAACCCCTGGAGGTGGCCGTCCACTGTAAGAGCGGCCAGGGGCTTTGATGTGTGGGTGGGGGGGGGGGGGGGGGGCCAGGTGCCCTTGCAACTCTGGCATGGTCTGGGACCATCAAGAAAAGCCAGTTCTTATTCTGCCTTCCCAGACAGAGCCCCAATAAGTCTGTAATATGGGATCCTGAAGATGGGCCATGCTCAGCAGGACAGCAGCCAATAGGACAGAGTGTGTTTGTGATCATCACCACCTCCCTCTATGGAGGGGTGAGATACTGAGTAGCTTAACTCACAGGCCAGACCAGTGAGGCTTGACTGGGTACCTTTGTGTAGTTGGGTGGGAGAGCTTGATTTTCCTAACTAAATCATCTACGGTCTCCTTCCCAGACATTGCCCGCAGGGACACCACAGCCTCCGTCAAGGGTGAGTTCTGAGAAGGAGCCCCCATCTACCAGCAGATCCTGGGCCTCCACCTCTGCAGGGCAGAACCAGACACAGCCTTAACTACACCCCTGTCCCCATATCCCTAGTTACTCTGGACCCTGACTCAGTCTCCCATGATCGCCCTAGAAGTGACCCCACCTCTTCAGGGCCACTCCCCAGATCCCGGACATATCAACGGGCAATAGCACCCCTAAATAGATGCAATCTTCCCTAGGCAGGTGAGGACAAGAGTCCATGTCCCATGGATTCCATGAGACTCACCCCAGGACCCTACCTGACCATCATCCTGATGGCCAGCTGCAGGTCAACAGCCAAGCAACATAAGTCTCCCTCCACACCAGTCCCACCAGCAGAGAGAGGGAGCACCTCCCAGGGCCTCACTGGGGAGCCCCAGGACTGACCTGCCACCCCTTACAGTCCCCAACCGGCCAGCTTCCCATGGTGGCTCTCCACTCCAATCAGCACCCTGCAGTGGCTCCCTCTTCCTGTGGCTGACTCTCTGCGTTCTGCTTGGAGTGGTGCTGGGCCTGTACTGTGGCCAGGCCAAACATGTCACAGTGACCCTTCAGGACCTCTGGGATTGGCTCCTCGTCCGCATGTTGCGCCTGTGGCATGTAGTTCTTGCCTGCTGGCACTGCCTCCTGAAGCTCTGACCCATGGCTGAATGGCAGTTTCACCTCTGAACATCGCTGGAGGGTGATGTTGCTGGGGGCGTAGGGTGGCTTGGGGACTGGCACGTGGTGGAGCCCAGGCACTAAGACTAACCCAAGACAGAGTTCTGCTAGCCAATGCTTGACAAACCCAGGAGCTCCATGAGGCCGCTGTAGTGGATGAAGTGGGAGAAAGGGTGCCTCTGGCTTGAAGCTACAAATACCCCCTACTCTAGACAGCACAGGCTGGGATCTTGGGATTTTAAGATTGTAATAAAGAATTCAACCATTGTGACTAGGGATCCCTACACTCCTGCCCAGTCCTCCCTCTTGGGATCCCTGACCTGGATGCTGTCATACATGACATGCAACCCTTTCAGGATGAATATCACCTGCCTCTGAGGGGCAGTTTGGGAAGGCAAGGCCCGAACTCCTGCTGCTTTGAGTGCTGGGCCCAGTTTTTGTCTTACTATCAGGAGATGGGCTCAGGGGCCTTCCTCTGCGGTTCATGGATAGCAGGGTATTATCCTCGGAGTCCAGGTCTGATTCCTCCACTTAACACTAAGATCTTTAGAGGTCCCTGTGGTGTTGGAACAGAATCTAGCTCTGAACCAAGCTGCTCTCAGAACAATATATATATATTGTTCTGAGAGGTCCCTCTTCCAAGGCCATCAAGCCTGCCTAACAGCCGAAGGTCCTTTAAGTCTTCTGAACCTACACAGTTCTGTCGTGCATGTTGCAAGGACAAGGGAAGCAAGCACATGGTAATGAACTTCAGGACTCTCTGACCTGCCTGGAAGGGATCCCTAAAAACAGCAAGGAGGCCGTTAGATACCAGGAGGATCCACCAGGAGGACTTGGCACCACTCTGGAACAAACATTTGATCAGGGTTTGGGAGCCAGGATAAGGCTTGTCATTGTCCTCTTAATGTGCCCTCCACTTATGTGAGCAGACAGATTTCATAATAAAACACCGGTATCCTCTTCAACCTCAGGATTATTATAGAAATTAGGAATACGAGACAGTTGTTGGGTAATTTCTCCAGGGTCAAGCATGCTCATCTAGGCACCGGAGCATACCCTCCACCCACCTACCCACCCCCACAACTCACAGGTCCTTGGCAGCTGTCATTTGTGAGAATTTGGGGGACCTCCCCATGCCTCTAGGACCACATCCTCCCCAGTAAAAAGTGCCCAGATTCTTAGCTCACTGAGAGGCCATGTATCCCTCTCTGGACTTCAGGTACTACATACAGTGGTCTCTAGCTATAAAGTTTGGGAGTAAAGTCAGGGAGGGCTCGGAGAGAAACTGCTTCCAGGAGTGGTCTAGAGAGGCCCAGCTTGGGAAACCACGCACCAGGATCAGCCATCACCATGGCTACTGTTGCCTGCACCAGCCCAGATGCCCCAGGATCCGTTCCATCTCATCCCACTCTGGTAAAAGACAGGCTCATTACTGGCCTGTATTCCAGATATGGGAACAGACACTGAGAAGTGTGATGGACAACCTGAAGGTCACCCCTCCGTCCCTGATTCTGAGAGTGAATGCCCTCTAGGAGGAGGACTGGTCAACCATGTTTTATAACAGTCAGGGCTTCCCGCCTCACAGCCAGCATTTGCTGCAAAGGCCACAGAAAAAGTGTGTCCAACTCTGTAGGGGCCACAAAACTCTACCCTAGCTAGTTTTGGTTTTCGTTTTCCTTTGTTTCCTTTTACAGTGCAAACCCAGCATGGCTAGGCAAATGGTCTGCCACTGTGTTGCATCCCCAGCCTTATTTTGTTTTAGAATAAATGTTCAAAGACATACACAGAAATGCATGTGCTTAAAAGATGTCACCGAACCCCAACCTCACATCTGGAAGATGGTGTAGGAATGTGTGCATCCTCACATCTG